TACCTTTTCTTATCTTACCCCTTTTTGGGCGCCCACCCACCACCACTACTCGTAATTACCCACATCAAATTGCTGTACTTTCAACATCGAATACCGAGAATTGTGTGCCCCTATAGGGGATGCCCAAAGGGAGTTCCAAATGGGATATGCTGCAGGCGAGAGCGTTCCTCAATCGATCCTTTTCGGCTCCATGTGGGCGCCCGTAGGGTTGGGCTTGGGTTGCCTTTCGGTTGGAGCATAAAGGTTCCCGTTATGTTTTTTTTGGCTGCTCTTTTTGCTGCTTGTGTAAATCCTCCCACACACACACACACACACACTTACACATTTTGCCATTATGCCATTTGACATTTGCATTTCAAATGATTTTGCTTGTTGACTTTAATTAGCTGAGATTTGTGTTGTTTCTTCCCATGGACCCTCCTCCTCCTCCTCCTCCTTGCCATCATGCTAATAGCTTTTTCCATTTCGTTTACCCCAAGAGAGGAGTCTCCAATCTTTATTTTTTTCTTGTGCTTCTTCGGGTAATTGAACCAAAGGACTAAGCTCTGGTATTTGCCTAGAATTTGCATAGTTGCGAATTCTATGAAAAAAAAAAAAAAAAAAACATACACTGGAAAATGGTGGCCTGGCCCGGGGATGTCTCATTACCAGAGCAACAACCACAACACATCGATTTCCGGGCCACTCTCCCAAAGCTCTTACAGGTGGAAAATGCGCAAAAATTCATTGTGCAGAAAAAGTTTCACCCTAAAAAACAAGGCGGCAAAACTTCACCTGCCATCGGCTGCTGCTTTTTGCTGTTGCTTCTCTCCGTGCCGCGGGTGGTGTGGCGGGAGGCCAGAAAAGTGTATTAAAATGTAAGGAAATGCTGTCTTCTCTTTACCGCCACCCTCCCCCACAGCTGTGCCCAGCTGCGTGGAAACAAACATAGCCGACAGCAACTACAGCAAGAGGTATACAACGTTCAGGTGGAGCCACGAACCGCAGCCCCTTCTCAAAGCAGCCTGGGGTCTCTCCCCTTTCCATGTTCTGCGGTGAGGCTGAGCAATAAAATTCTTTAAAATTAGACATCAAATATTTAAATTCAAATTGTTTCGGCTTTAAGGCAGCTTTTTTTTGTTGCTTCCTTTTAGATTTGCATTTCATTGCAATTTGTTTGATATTTGCTGCTGCTGCTGCTGCTTCTGCTCCTATCCTGCACATAAATTCTCCGTTTTATTTTATGTTATTTTATGCATTTGGCTTTTATTACCCTCCCCTAGCAACAGGCATTGGAGGCGGCCCCATTTGCCCCTCGGGGCTACTCCTCGATCTTTCGAAGGTATTCCTTTCCCTTGCTGTTTCGGCTCAACAAATGATAATTTATGCAAATGTCGGCAGTCCCCTAGAACAAGACACAACAGAAAAAAAATCGCTGAGGGTTGCAACAAAAAGCCTCCCAAATTTCATAGAGGGAGTCCCACTCCCATTCCCATTGTCGATCCCATTTTCCATTTCCATTACCACTGCCAGAATTTTCCCATTTTAGTTTGCTTTTTGACTGCTCCGCTTGACTACACCACTGCGGCGGGTTCTCCTTTGGTCCTCTTTGTGCTGACATGCTTTTGTCATTTATTTTGTTTATCTCTTTTACGCTCTGCTTTTTTACATACAAGAATAACAAATTATTATTATGTTTTAGCCATTTCTCGCTGATCCAAGCGATTCCAGGGGCCGGTAAATCACAAACAGTCGGAGGGGAGGTCGACCCTTTGGATCTGACATTTTGTGGGCTTCCCATTCTCCACTGAGCTGCATTTGAGTAATGAGCTGCTTATCGAGATGGAGGGCCAGAAGGTACTATATTCTTGTACATTCCTGCTCCGGAAAGTTAATGATATGACTTCATCTTCTTTAACGCTCGTCCTGTGCTTCCCGACTCTGTGGCATTTGTAATAAGTAGGGGAAATGCTCTAAAAGCTGAGCTCAGGGATCGAATGGGTACAAAGGTGTTTGCTGCCGATAAAGTTGTGAGTTATTCAACTAGACACTGGATAATGTTTATTGAGTACGAGATTGCTTGCAGTGTTTCCTTTCGTCTTCTTCTTTGCACTTTACCGTTTGTATTGGTCACAGCTTTTACCGTTGCTATGCACGCACCGTCTTGTCCACTGCAGTGGACAGTGCACTGTCCCCGCTCAAAGCTGCATTGTTGTTAGTGTTTGAGAGAGCGAGCGTAGGGAGAGCGATGATATTCAGATGAAAAGAAAAAGCGCGTCGCTCCAGCGCTCCAAGAGAGAGAGAGGGAGGCAAAGAGAGTCTGAAATGGATGGTTCTCGATGCTCTCAGAACAGTTATGTTATGGAAGCTTGCCCAAGGCTCGCAGGGGAACTCTGCTAATTTTGTGATCTCAAAAAAGGGGGGGGGCGAGAAAGAAAAGCGTGAATTAATTCACTTAATTGCAAGTGCAAATATTGATATTTTCAATTTTCTGGACACAGCAATCAGCATAGGTGCTGATAGTAATAGTCTTATAAACATCCATCTATGAGCTCCATTCTACAGAACTCAGGCATAAAATCTCTCCCTTTCAGGGAACTTGCTGCCAGCTTCCATCAGTGGCACTTTGCCAAATTCTTACATTAGTTTCGTTTACTTTTCAATTGCTACTCCATTTCCCATTTTGGCTGTTCGCTGTAAGCTCTCCTACCCGTTGCACTGAGTAGCCAATTGACAACTACAAATTGAACATTTATTTTGCCAGCTCAAAGTGCAGGGGCGGCAGCGTGCAGGGGAGAAGGTTCTGCATAGATGGGCAGAACAGAAACAGAGCCCAAAGGTCCCAAGTGGTTGGATGTTGGTTGGTCACCAGCCGACAAAGTGAACAACTTACTCTCAGAAACTACTATCAACACGACAACTTCAGCCGGAAGGACTTTGAGCGAGCAGCAGCTAAAATAATAGAATTTTCCTCTAAATTTAGTCAAAGATGCCACAAAAATAAAAAGCAAAAAGCGAACCGAACCGAACCGAACGACCGACGACTCTATGCAAATGTCTTAAACTTGGGAGAAGGACTATCATTGTCGTCGTCATCCAGGCAGTTTCCCCACTCCTGAAGTAGACTGTGAACGAAAGGACCCTCGTCATACTCGAATCCTTTGTTTATTTGTTTACTTTTTGCCATTTTCCTGCATGCAAGTTTCCCCCATCTATTGCCATGATTTCTTTTTCCTTTTGGTTGTCATTATTTTTTTGGTTTTTCCCTTTTTGCCATGAATATTTCCATATTTTCATGTGACCACTTCAAGTTTTCCTGCATGTTACTGACTTTCCACTAAGGCTCCTGCCCGGGCCTTATCCCGGCAATTGTGTGGAAAACTTTCGGCTGCTGCTGCTGCTGCTGCTTCCTTCCTTCTTTGCTCAAGAGGACGCATGTGTAAGGCCATGTTATTTAATAGGCTTTTGTGACTTGAAAGACGAGCACAACGAAGCACCAAATGGCTGGGAATGCGGCACAGTGGGATACATCAAGCCAAATGGCTCTCAATGTTGCAGCGACTCCAACAGGGATTGTGCTATGCTGCATTTTGGGAGTTAATTTCAAAGACGTTTAACATATTCCAGTGCAGTCTTTCGTTCTGTTTAGTAGCTGGAACATTGCCATGTTTCGTTCTGTTTTTCCCACTGTAACTACTCTCCTATGTTTGCTCTCTCTCTCTCTCTCTCTCTCTCTCAATCTCAACACCCCATGTTTGTTTTGTGTCTGCCTTTTGGAGTCGTCTACATGTGTCTGCCGTTTTCTTTCGAGCCGCACAGACAGACATAGACCCCGACCCCAGTGCTCCCGCTTTTGTATGCACAGTGGCTGCTGTTTTGGTAATGCGTTTAGATTATTAAACATATTTTCTGATGCCTGACAAATGGCAGGACAAACGATGGAAAACTTTCAACAAGAAGATGCCGCTAAAGCAAACACAGAACGACTTTCGCTTCCCTCAAATATTTACGGCTGTTTTGGTCTTCTTTTGGCAATTAAAAAGAATAGAATTTCTTCTCGCTTAAGGAGCAACTTTCTTGGCCTTAGGTGTTCGATAAAGTGGAGTAACAGTAGCGGTCGGCTGTAAGTAGGTCAGGCCATTAAAATTGCCACAAAATATATCCACAACACGAGAATATCTACAGCACACCCCCAAAGGCAGATTTATGTGTACAGTATGGATGTGGCTGCCTGTTTCTTGTTTAATCGTTAAAGGACTCGTGCTTTGTGTGTGGCTTTTCTTTTGGTGCGTAGTTAAAGTGGAACACACAATCCCATACACATACGTTGGTAGGGAGCCAGCCACCTGCCGCCCACCCGACAAGGAAACACACTTTGGTTGGCGCTCCCCTTGGCGGCAGAGGCGGGTTAGAAGTTGTTGCTAAATGCTTTCTGATTGTTATTTTTCGTGTTTTGCCCCTTTCCGCTTTACCCCCACGATGTAGCTGCGAAATTACAATTATTACATGGCCCAATCCAAGTTTTCCGCTTCTTGCAGTTTGCTTTTGCTTCTCCTCCTCCTCCTCCTCCTCCTCCGAGAACATTCGAGCAAAAGTTTGCTTCTTGCCGCTTGCTCCTCGTACAAATGCAAAATCTGGTAATGTAGGCGTGTTTAACACAAAACTTAAGTTGTTCGTAATGACTTTGCAGCGTTTTTGGTAGGAATGGCATTGAATCAGACGAAATGAAACGAAACGGGAGGGCAGACTTGGAGAAGTGAAACTTTTGTGGCTGTTCTTAAAGCTGTGGTCCGAGGCGGGACTTAATGAAAAAAGTTTGCAACACCCACGGAGAGAGATAGAGAGAGAGAGAGAGAGAGAGAGTGGTCAAGGGATTAGCTGTAAACCAATAACAAGTGAGTGGCAAAGCTCCGAAAGCGCTAAACCAATTTCCATTATGAGAACAAAAGCTTTTAGCTTTATTTCATTATACTCACAAGATCGTGTTAGGCATTGATATTCGTTTCATTCGCCAAAGGTTTTTAGTTCATATTCAAAATCAAAGCTAGGCAAGAGCTTTCCTGGTTCAAAATTCTCATTTCCTGACTGCATCCATGGACATGGAAGACGACATAGAGTTCCTCATAAGCGCCCTTTCCAAGCCGCACTCATCGCAGGCCCTGCCTTGTAGCGGGGAGAAGCGGCAGGAGATGCGGGACGCGTTCGTTGCCCTGCAGCAGCTGCTCCGCAATAAGCCATTGCAGGTGCGCTCCATTCCGCGCTCCACGGCAGGCGGAGAAGTGTCCACTCTGACCACTGACAGCGAGCTGGACAGCATTGCCATGGAGTGCAGCTCAACGGAACACGAAGCCAAAACATCCGTCAGCCTCTCCAGCAGCGAATCCTTGAATCTGGAGTGCAAGGAAACAAAGTTTCAAATGATTCGACGCAGGGACATGTTCAATTCAACACTCTTCGCCCAGAGGCGGCACACCTCCACGGTGTCCCTGAAATTGGTTTGCCACAGCTCCCCCCACATTCCGAATAGTGATACCACGATAACAGCCGATGGCATTCGGTACAGTCTCACAGAATAGGCCACAGCCAGAAGTGACAAATGGAAATGTATTCCGACACATTTTCAGTACTCAAAGTGAAAACTTTTCTGTAAACTTTAGTACAAAATTAAATTTAATTCATAAAAAACAATCAGCCATCATGGAGGCAGATTTAGCGTTTGTCATCAACGCCTTGTCCCTGCCGAACACTCAGCTGACAAGGCCTTATAGCGCGGTGGAGCTGCAGGAGCTACGCGAGTCCTTCATTTCCCTGCAGAGACTGCTGCGGCATAAAGCTTTGCCAGTCAACGAGACATCCTTGTGCATGCCACGCTCTAAGGCGGGCGGAAACCTACCAAAGGATAAGGTCTACCCTGCGATGCGGGTGTCCCTTGAGCAGTCGTCTGCTCCCAGCAGCGAGGAGGAGCACACACCAACTGTGAGCCAGATTATACGGGGCAGTGACACTTTCAGCTTCTGGAGCCTGAATGAGGACACCTACGAAACGCGCACGACTTTGTCCGGTGACGGCAGCTCGGAGGTAGTCGTTACCCGGCGGAAGACACACACCTCCACGATCTCCACGATCTCCACGAGCGCTGCGCCAGTGGAGTTGGTCTGGAGCAATAGTGGCTACATATCGCAGAGCACGGACAGCGACACGACAATCAGGCCAGATGGGCACCGGTTCAGTCTTCGCCAATAGTCAGACCAAATCAGAGTTACTTTTAAATTTCGTTACTTTTCGAATTACTTTAGCAGCCTCTGCTGGAACTAGGGAGCATCGTCAACAAATTAGAACGCATGACCTGGCGCCAGACGACCTTTTAATGAGCGCGCAAGTCCCAGAGTTTGCTGGCATAAAACTTGTAAAAGTGATTAAAACGCAAATGTAATTGAAATGCGCACATTTGCGTAGGCATTTGCCCACTTCCGCCTGGCTGGGCTCCACAAAACACTCTCGGATATCCGCCCCCACTCACAGCTGGAAGGCCGAGCAAAGTGCCTGCGGTCATTGGGCATGTACGTGGGCGCCCAGTCCTTTTGACTGCCCTCAGATGGAGGAGATACTCGTATTTGAATACTTCGCTCCTGTATGTGTAATTTCAATATTTTTTGTGGCTGGCTTTGGGAGTTGTTTGCGTGCGTGCAGCAATTTCCTCGACTACCGAAAAATCTAATTTAATTTCGAATGAAATTTGCCCTTGCCTTTGCCCTTTTACTGGGCAGGGTCCTGGCAGTTTTCCATTTCCATTTATATTTCTATTGAAATGTTCTCTCGGCACAGGTGGAGTCTGGCCTTTGCTTCTGCCGCTTTTGATTTTCCTTTTAGTGCCGTTTAAGTGTGCGTCCAAAATGCTCTTTTATCAAGTTTATTTTTGGGGCTGAGCATTTATTGTTATGCATATTTGGCAGCGGCAGCGGCAATTAGTTTGAGAGTCGATGTGGATATGAAATTTTCAAGTGGGATGGATCCATATATGGATATTTCCATAGCGAACATGCAAATATCTGTCTCTTCCTTTTGTTGCTTCTTTCAGTCTGCCCTGCAGTGGGTAAGACTGTGGCAAATCCAATTCATCCACGAACTAGTCGCAGCAAATGTGCCCCTAAGTAAGACACAATAAATAGCACAAGCAAATGCACGTGTCGCTGCCTTTGCCTCGAGTTGGGCTCTTTGGTAGGTGCTTTGGCTGCTTGACAAATGCCCAGCAATTAAACCGAGTAGTTCCTGGGAAATGTATGTTGAGGAAGATGCTGCTGCTGCTGCTGCTGTCATGGAAATTGAAAAGCGAAACCTGGAGCGAGTTCCCTGTTGGACATCAATTTCACTTTAATGTTTCCGTGCAGCGCATTAAGCGAGGGAACACGAAAAAGCGTTGAGCAAGAGAAATTATGCTAATAAATCGCAGCGACACGTGTCGTTGTACTCGGTCTCGTGTCCTGGCCCCACTAATGGACCCGCGCCACGAAATATGCATCGAGTATTCTTCAAACTGCCACATTGTTGCACTGCGCCGGATTATCGGCATGAGCTGAGCGGGGGCTCGGCAGCACGTGGTGTTTGCACATCATTTACATAAAACGGGCCACAACTTGTTTGCAATTTCTTAACGAACAGCGAGCCAGCAGGAGCAAAAAGAAAAAGCAGCACAACAAACTTGTTAATTATACTTGACTGGACTCGGCCGAGGGCTGGGATTTCGCAGGACCTGCCCGTTTATGACGTGCACCAAGAAACCATTAATCAAAGCTGCACGGCAGCTCTCCATATTCCATTTCCATTTTTCGAGCACTTCTAACGACTCCAAAGTGGGAAGTTGGGGCGCTGGTCGCGTGCGTAAAATGTATCCACGAAAGCGGGAGGGCGACCCTGAAATGATTTGCAGATTAAACAATTTGAGGCAAAGCGGAAAAAAATGTATTGAATGTATTGCCTAATTGTAGTAATTAATGGGTTTAGTTGCAGGCGAAATCATGCGATGATTAATAGCGATAAAGAAGTACGATAAAGATCTACGGCAGGGAAAGGGGAAAGGAGTTGACTGTCCTTTAAGGTGTCCGCTCAGGAGAATGTTGCTTTCAATTTTAAATCTACAGGGGATAAGGAAACCCTTTAGACATTGCTACGGCAAAAGGTACAATCCAAAATTTTAATTACACGCCCCAGCGAATCGTAAACAAAAAGTGAGAGAGAGTGAGAGCTAGAGTGAGTGTCCGCAGACAATGCGGACAGATACAGATGCGGATATGTGTAGACAAATATTTTTAATAAGTGGATAGAACAGCGAGGAGAGAGACAGAACAGCACGTGCGTCGTAGTCCCTGGCAACCTTGGGGTTCTGTTTCGCATTTTTCACAAATTCTGCAATAAAACGTTTGCCTGGGCAATTGCGGTGCGGACGAGTAATTTATAAACACACTCTCTGCAGCCGGGGAAACTGTAAGCTGCCGCTAAACAGAAAATCCTTTATTTCTGTGATGATGCTGCTGTTGTGCTCCACTAATTTCCCGTACAAACATGAAACAGCCCGCGACTGCAACCCCCTCGCAAGGTGAGTCCAGTGATATTTCGGGGGTTGCTGCCAGGATGCGTTGCCATGGAGGGTACACAGAGTTTTCCCTCCTCCCTTGGCCAGCAACGGTAGCTCTTCCCCTCTGCCGAAAGATTTGTTTTGTTTTTTTTTTCCAGCTCGCTTAGTCGCAGTCGAGGCACTGCATTCAAAATGAAATGAAATGAAATGAAATCCCCGACGGACTATTTGTCATTTCTGACAGTTCAAACTGTTTTTCCGAGGGGAGTTCCGCAGTTCTGTTGACTTTTCCGCAGAAACTGTGGCATTCTGTCCCTCTGCGTCGCAACTTCTGTTGTCAACGCGATCTGTTGTTGTTGTTTGTAATTAGAGCGGCAAGTTCCTTCGAAAGTTTGCAGATTTAAAATTAGGCAAAATAAGCGGAAAAGATTGCTTTTCCATGTGCAAATATTAAGCGAGTTTGGGCAAACTTTTGATTAGATTTAATGTCAAATAATCTTTGATACATTTTGATACAAGTTTTTGGATTTGTTTCTGCTTAAACACGCTCAATGTGTAAGCCGCAAGAACTCTGCCATTCCCATGAGAGAGGGTTCCCAGAGGGTTGTGGCAGACTAAAATCAAATCAGGCCACAACTCTTTAACGCCTTGAGTCCATTTAATGCCCCTGCTCTGGGGCAGTCATGAATCACATACATTACCCAATAGAATAGACCATAAAAAATGAAATTGAAAACGAAACTTGCATTCAGCATGATGCCGCCATAAAATGATGGTTTTTATTGGGAGAGGCGAAGGGTTCTCCTTTGAGAGGATTACGAGCCCTCGAAGCTGGCAACAGTTGGGCAGGAAGCTGCCACAAATGTTCTCCATTTCTATTGTCAATTGTTGCATGGAACGGGGGCACTGCCATTGGCCATTCAAAAGTTGTTCTGTCAAGTTAAATTACCAAAAATTGCAAATTGCTTGGATTAAACACGAAAACGAACACGGACAAGGACATGGCTGCTGCTGTGGGTCCACGGACCAAGCCAGACACCAGACCCCAGACCATTGTGTGGCCAAAGGATTCCATACACTCAATATAATTAAGGGTTTGAGCGCTGCCCCCAGGCCCCAGCCCTCAGCCTTGAGCCTTGAGCCTCAGGAAACTTTGTGTCCAGGCAACAATTTTTGTCGGATGAGTTTGGTTTCGGGTGTGGTCCGAGTTGTTGCCTGATTTTGTCGCTGGGCTTTCTGAATTGTATGTTCAATTAAATTCTACCACAGAGACCACTGCACAGCCAGGGTTGGCTTCACTGGCTTCACTGGCTTGTGGCATTAAGTTGTCTGTTTGTCGAGCTTGACAGATTTTCCAACTGATGAGGTCAACGGGGACCGACTGCCAGAAGTTTGCTTGCTCCTGGTCACAGATATAGCCATTTGGAGATGTTTTGGGGCCGCTTCTCACACTCCCAAGTACTTTTTGCCTTACCAAAGATCTCACTTCGCCTCTTTCATGGCAGGTAATTACTTTGCGACTGCTTCGATCCCTCGAGTGAGCGAGTAAAATGTCTCAAGTGGCTGCGCCCATTCATTGCAATCAGCTGTGCGCCTATGACGGGGAAGAGGCTCTCCTCCACAGGCTCTGTAATGCTCTGCCATTTATCACCAGAAGACGACGATTGTCATCGGAGCAAAGCATTTTATTTAACTGCCAGCAGTCGCAAGCAATCCAATGAGTAGTCCAGACTGTAGTTCCATATGTGGAATTGATGTCGAGTGCGGTCGGGCCAGGGAACAAATGGGAGGCAGCGCTTTAATTTAATAGGCGCACATGAGACTCCACATAAAAACCAATTTCGCGCAAGTGATAAAAATGCAATGAGCACTCGCATTCGGCACCAAGTGCCACACGAGACCCAAGGATGATGATGGGGCAGACAGTTCCGACTATGAATTACATTTACGATTGCCCAGAAGAAGTCTTTCTTTTGAATTGCTTAATTTCAGCAAACAAACTGCGAGCAGACTCTGAGCAAAGTGCGGAGAAATTTGTGATAAAATGTGATTCGAGTGACCAAAATGCTGAACACTTTATGATGATGAGGAGTTCGATGGCTCAGAGCTCGTCGTGAGTGTCACGCTGCCATGTCTAGGAATGTTTCGCTCTGCCAACCCATCCAGCGTTCAATCATCATCAATTTCCCATAAAAGTGTCGCCCACTCGTAGCAGCTACTGGCAGCAGCTCCATTCCGCTTCTGTCTGCCTCTAGCCTGTAGCCTCTAGCCTGTCGCCTGTCGCCTCTAGCCTTCTGGCGACGTAATGACGAGATCATATCGACAACAGGGAGTCGACGGTCCTTGGAGTCGTGTTTTTCCCTGCTGCCGCCGCTGGCTTTTGTGTAATCGTGAGAGCCTCGTTGTCATTGTCATTTGCCGATGTTGTGTCTGCGCACTTTTCAAGTTCAATTCCAATTCCAGTTGCAAATCAATCGGGAGGCGGAAGGGAAGAGCGCCTCCAGCCAGCCAGCAATGCCAAATGACCAGCATGGAGTGGAAGACCCAGGAGACTGGCTTGTCATATTTCCTGTCTGCAAAGTGTGGAATGAAAGTTTTATGGCTTTCTGATGGTCCCCGTATGGAAGTTGGGTTTAGGTTGCAGGAAATTCACACCGTCTCTCGTTGGCTGTTTCTGTAACACTTCCTGCCCTGCAGCTCCGCTTTTGTTTACTTAATCAATGCCCAATATTGCACAATCCCCGCCTCGGGGCGCCAGTGAACAACTGTCAGCAAATTGAGGGCGAAAACATGCGCCGCAACCACTGTAATTACCCAGTTGTCAGTTGGCCCAATCGTAGAATGAATCGATGAAGAGGTTTACATGGAAAGTGACACATTTGCTCGAAATGGGAGGAACACTCCTGCGAGCCGCTGGGCTTGGGAGGGGGCGTGTCGCTGACATAATTGAAATTGACATATTTCATTGTCGAAAACGGAAAGCTGCAAGCGAAATTGCCAAAGTAAATTTTCAATTTTCATCAAATTTTTATACGGGATTGGGGAGTACGCATTGATTTGCTTTGATTCTGATTGTGATTTGAATTCAAATTCAGTTTTGGGTTTGGGTTTGGGCTTGGGCTCGGATTCCATTCTGCTTTTATTTGCCATTTTGCTTTGTTGTAAGTCGCCGCAGGGAGCAGGGATGTTGCAACAGCTCTGCCCTGCCACGAGTGTCCGTCACTTCAGCCCTCGGGCCTCACACTTTTACTGTTTTGTGTGCCGCCGTCGAAGGCGTTGAGCCTTGGCGGGGATTTTTGGCAGCTTTGAACGGATTAGCGATTCTCCCTTACTCACTGATGATGATGATCGAATTTCAGGCAAAAGTTTGAAGTTTTCTTAAAGCGTTTTCGTACGATTCAGTTTTGAATTGGTTTCGCGCTCCTTTTGCAGCCATTTCCCTTTTTGCAACGCCCAGCGAGGGTCCATAAATTACAATGCCCAAAGAGTGGACACTGGAGGAGGAGGACTAGGGTCAGGTATCTGGGTCAGCGTTTCATTGTCTATGGGATATTTTTATTGTTTTTTTTTCTTTTCAACGTGCAAAAACAAAAGTGGCAGCGGACAAAGCTTTTGCATACCACCGGGGACCGACGGTAGTCCGGTTGTTTCGTTACAACGAAAGTGGGTTGCAGCACTCCTAATGAGATGCAAGCTGAGTTTTGTGGCAAGTGGCAAGTGCAAAATGAAATGCGCATTTTAAACGAGGGTAAGTCGGGCCAATTCCCATTGTTCGGTCAAGATCTGAAATGAAAGTTATTCAGGTTTGTGGCTAGGATCTTCCATAAGTTCTACGATCTTCAGCCTTAGCTTTGTCGGGGGTTCAGCTTAAAGAATTTACAGAGCTTTGGAGGTCTCATCTCTTTGTACGCCTTGCGGAGCTCTTCGGTCTCGCTCTTGTGGCTGGACTTCATGTCCTGCTTGAGCTTCTGCAGCAGCAGTTTACGATAGTTGTAGGTCTCCTTGAGGACTTGCAGCTGATTCTTGTACTCCATTTTGGCCGAGCGACGGAGAATGGCGTGCACCACCGTTCTGGGCTCCGAGGAGAGTTGGGATGAGCTGAGACTATCAGGGAATAGGTTTTTAAGTATTATTTCCTTCCCCAAGGAACTGCCAGCACTTACCTTGCGCTGGCCACCGAGAATGTGGACGTTTGGCTCAAATCCCTCAATAAGGCTCTCCAGGACGTCATATTGTCATCATTCAAGACAATTTCAAGCGCCTCCTCGGCTTCCTGCCTGTCTTCCTCGCGTTGCTTCGTGTCCAGCGCCTCGATTCCGCTTAGAAATTGTTGCACATCCTCTTTCATTTTGACACTGTCCACTTTCCACTTGGCTGCCTTGGCCTTTTTCGGCTTTTTCAGATATTTCGATATCCAGTTTGGCGCTTTAATCGTGTCCTGTGCATTGGCTGCCTGCACCTTGGGCTCAGTTGTGATTTCGCTGTCTTTGATCTCTGTCCTGGGGCTCTTGAGACTGGATTCGTTTCCTCTTCTCGCCTCTTCCATTAAAACGTTTAGCTGCGCTCTTTGCCTCTCCTCTTTGGTTTGCTTCTCTTTTAGTTTTCTTTCCTCCTTGGCCATGGCACTCTCTTTTTTTCCCTGCTCTTTGGCCTCTTTCTCTTTTAGTTTTGCCTTCTCTTCGGCCCTCAATGATTGTTCGCTCAATGTTCCCTTAAATCGCTCTTCGGCTGCCTCTTCGCTCTCGATCATTGTGCTGGGTTCTGTTTTATTGGGTTCGTCGGTTTCTGCGGGGGGGTTGCTTACACTGTCCTTTGCTTCCATCTGCTGGGAGAGAGCTTCTTTGTTGGCCTGCTCCTGCATCGGCCTTGGACTTTTCTCTATTAATGTGCTTGTATCTTGCATTGCGTGGCCGATTCTTCTCACAAAGTCTTCCATTTCAGCGCATTCCTTTGAGATTTCCATGCCCATGGCATGTGCCTTCGCCTGACCATCGCGAGGTGCGCGCGCTTCCATCTTGCAAGTTGATTTTCTGCGTGTGTTTTTTGTCTGTGTGAAAAATTAACCTTGATTTACATTACACAAAGGAGACTGGGGATTTGGAATGTGAGTTGAGTAGCAGCGCAAAGGCTCTGCTGTGGCCCTTAGCATTTGGCTATTTGTTTGTTGTTTTTGAGAATGAAATGAATGTCTACTTAGCCGGTCAATCTTCAAAGGGAAAACCCAACTTGTGCACGCCTGAGGCGTTTGGGGTACGATGCTCCTAAAACCCAACCCAGGCTCGGGAAACATTTGCCAAAACTAAGACCCAAATTCCTTTGGAGCTGCAAGGCAGCTGAGGAATGGAGTCATAATCGGAAGGTAGGGAGGGGCGCACTCTTATCGTATTCATTTATTATGCAAAGTCTTACCCGCTGTCCAACTGCATTTGAGCTGCCTTCAAGCTGGTGCGCAGATGGTGGGCAGGACTTGGAAGGACATTCATCAAAGTGGCACGAAGCATGAGGCACGCAATTCATATCCCATATCCCATATCCCATGCAGAATTAGTTGGCTTGGATTTTCCAATTTTCAGAGCTGAAATTGTGTTTTTGCGGCCTCCGCTCTAAAATATTAATAAATTTCGTTTTTGGGCAACTGCTGTTGCTGGCTCGCAACTCTTCCTCGTACTCGTACTCGTACTCGTCCGCACCATCTGCCACACTCTGAAGGAGTTTATAATGCAACACTTGCGCAACGAGCACAATTTTTTGGAGGAATAGAATGGTTTTGCGTCTAGACAACGCCCGGGGCGGAGCTTGGACTGGGTAGTGGGGAAGCTGGGGGAGCTGGTGATGCGGCAATTTCGCCACACGTATCAGCCTGTGTCTGGACGATCCGCGTGAGCACGGACGGAGCACGGAGATTTGGAGAACAGTCTGCTGTCACTTTCGGGGTTTCGTACATTGCTTAGCAGGGCTCCAAGAAACATGGTCTGCATCTGTAATAAGCCTCGCCTGGTCGTGGTTCTGGTTCTGGTTCTGGGCCTAAGCCGGGGGCTTGGCTGCAGTGCTGCAGGGGAGCATGAGCGGAGATGTACTTGTATATGTGAATATATGCAGTGCTCGCGCATGTACGTATGTATGTACATAAATATAAATTTGAAACAGAACTGTGGACTCTCAATGCAAAAATACAATATGTAAATACATTGCATGTCGGATTATTGTTGGCATTGTATGCTTGGTGATTCCCTTCGAAATTGCTTGCGGTGTTCCCTTTCAGTGTCTTTTTTGCACTTTACCGTTTCTTTTTGGTCACTGCTTGTACCGTTTCTAAGCACGCACCGTCTTGTCCATTGCACTGTCCCCGCTCAAAGCTGCGTTGTTGTTAGTGTAAGCGAGAGCGAGCGTAGGCAGAGCGCTGATGTTCAAGTACAGATCAAAAGGGAGACGATAATTCGAGACCAACTTGCGAGCGCGTGCTTGGGTAGAGAGGTAGTGAGAGAGAGAGGGACAGAGCTATTCAAAGAGAGAGCTTCAAGCTGTAAAGCGACAAGCTACAGACAATGAGGTGGATGATTCTCGATGCTCTCAGAACAGTTGTGTGGCTCCAGCCAATTGCATTGGTGTTACAGTGACAAAGTGAATTTTGGGCTCTTGATTAGCATACCCGCTTAAGCCGCCACACTAACCGCACTCACCCCTAACCACATCACACATCCAACTGCAACTCAACCGATCAATGGCAGGAATCAATGTGCCAATGAACTCGTCAATGAACTCGTTATTTATCAACGCTTTCTGGCAGCTAATGGAATGGCTTTTCCAACATTATCCCCGACATGCAACCGATGGCAGAGTACGCGCACGCGAACCGAAAAGTTTCAACAGCCATGCAATCCATGCCCCATGGCCCGCCCATCAAGCTGTCGGCGCTGCTAACTGTACTCCGATGGGGCGTACGAAATTATTACAATTCTTATTATTATTTTTTCTGGTGATGTTTATGCTTATATTTGGAGTCACGCACGATGCGGCAAACTGTCAGCCGGAAACGGAATTGATTATCGGCGCTACTGAATCCGGCTGTTAGCTCCAAACCTACATATCTATCCTTCTACATACATAATACATACATTTGTACATAAATACGTCTTCTGTTTCGTTCTCTTCCACTCCGTTCTTGCCCTACCCCTGCTCCTGGCACTGCTCCCTCCTGCTGCGGCAACCTCTTTTATCTGTTTGCGTGCCGTGCTGCCGTTTGCCTACTATGCATTTCAAATTCGGTGGCATTTAATGACTCAATTTGGTGCCCCGTTTTTCGGCTCTGCTGCAGTGCAAAACGGGAGCTGCCGGCGGAGAAAGCGCTCTGCAATTAGTTCGCAGAGGGTGCAGGCTCTGGTTCTGGGTTTTGGTTTGGTTCGTGTGGAGCCCGATCTAGATTGCTTTGAGTTTGCCTGCTCTCGAGCTGGGTTCCATTTCAGTCTACAAAATTTACTCAACATTTGAACATAGGCTCTCCTGCTTGGACGTAGAATTTGCTTTTATTTTTGGGGATGAGTGCCAAAAAGGCGTAAGTTGAACGAAGAATGCCATCACATCCACCCCACTTCTTACCCATTTCTTGCCGAAGTTCCTCGCGCGGTGCTCCGCCCGGCATACAGTTCAGCACGCCCGTCGGCGCACCCGAAACCAAGCGCAAGATGCTGCTCTACAAGCGGCTTCTGAGCAGGGAGCTGCTCCGCGATGAGCGAACTCCGCAGCAGATCCGCTCGGCCCGGAGGCGGAGAGAGCAGCAGGAGGCCGAAGGCGTGTTTCCAACCTCCTGATCAATGCAGACACCCAACAGGAGCATTATTCAAAACGAATATGCAAAAAACCAAACAATAGGTTTGATTAAATTTAATGTTGAATGCCAATTAAATTGTCGTTCCACTCTTCCATAATCATTCGGTATTACAATCGCCCGTGAAAAGTTAAGCTGCAAATTTAGCGAAATCAATTTGCACAACGGCTGGAACCAAATGGGCAGCCAAAACAATTTGTTTAGCCCGTGCACTTCTGCGGTTTCAGCAGTTGATAATAAAGTGTTTGCCAGACACACACACACAGAACAATCAAAATAAACACCAGCAACAACAGCAACAACAAAGTGTGCCAGAGGACAGCTCCTCGCATCCCCAAAACCGGATAAAAAACAAACCTTTGGAGTGGCATGGCACAGAGGCTTTTAATTGCCGTCAGGCGCCAACTGCTACCATTGTGAACTCAGTCAACTTTTATTTACTTATGCAAATGCGTTTTTGCCTTTTTTCGGTATGCAAAATATTTGTCGCAAAATTGGCAAAAGCGAGCCGAAACTTTTCCCCGTTTCGGGGTGGGCAAAACGCAAATATTTTGACGACTGGAACAAAAATAAATTGAAATTGTTTTGACAATTGGCAGGACGCTCGCTGGCTCGCTGGCTCGCTGTAAAAGTGTACAGAAAAATTGGCCAACTAATTGGCTCTCCAGAGAAACTTTTGGCCCAACTTTGGCCATTTGTGGCTTACACATTATCACAATTGTTTAGCAAGCCCATCGAGGATTGTCACGTAGTTCAAAGAGAACTCTCTTTTTATTCTTATAATTATGGGGGACTATGGGCGAGCAACTGCTTCAGCGTCGTATTGAGAAAGTCTTGAAGTTGGAGCTGGCCAAAGGCTCGTTCGACGAGAAGACGGCCTTTTGGATCACCGAACGAGGACTGCCCGTGTGCTGCAGCCAGCTCTTCCTGGGGTAAGAGGGAAAATTAGATAAGACCTACGACCGCTTTTGCTCACATTTCCGTGATGTTGTCCAAACTTCCTTCCATGACACCCTTTACCGAACCCTCATCAGTATTCATGCACCACCCGACCAGTCCCAGCTGTTTTGCCTTGTTATTTGTGTGCTGCAGAGTACTGACAAACAGTGCCATTAGGTAATTAAAAGTGTACTCAATAAATTACCTTCCGAAAGTAGACGCCTGCCGTGGAAGATTTAGATTTAGACAAAAGTTAGACTCAAAGAGTTGCACTTTTTGGCACTTTCTCTTACCCTGAACCTTCCCGAAGACCTCGAACTGGCAACCAAAAATGTTCTCCCCATCGGTGGCTGTTTTTCCCCTTGGAGGGGCTGTGGACTTTGTAATTTTGTTATTCATTTTGGAAGATATTTGTTTGGGGCTCACAAAAAACTGATGGAAATCTCAACGATTCCTGGATAAGTTTCTTTCTGGCATTTCGCTGGATATGCAAATTGAATTTGTTCGTCCATTAAAATTAACAACAATTTTTCACGGCAATTTGACAGGGCAGATTCTGCATCGAGTACTCGAACACGAGTCCTTTCTCGCCTTTGCCACTTCCGGTTCGTTAAGTTTAACGGCTGCCCAACAGAAAAGAAGCTGCAAAAAGGTATACCAAGATGACGCACATTCGAGAGTGTATTCCGAGTATTCCCCCCCCCCCCCGACACACTCGGTGAAAACTTCAATAAAACGCTTGACGCCGGAGGCGAACTGACATTTTCCATTAAGTGCAGACAGCTCCGAAACGGAGAAAACAGAGAAGCAGAATGCCAGCGGCTCATTTGCCCTGCCAAAGGGCAGGGGATGGTTTGGAGATGGATTTTTATTTCCCTGAGAGTTTCGTGGGTCGTTCTTTCTGTGGACTGTTGATTATGATGATGCCCTGCCACTGACCGACTGAAATTTAGGATGGAAACTATCAGCGCGGATCCGGGTAATAGAAGCCGACCAAAACTCTTCCTCAGACAACATCAAAGTGTCATCAACAGCACTTCCTTCAAGACTCTGTCGCAACTTTTGCTTTCCCACAATAACATTTACTTCTGCCTGTTGGTCTCCTTATCTTTGAGCACATTGACGGAGTGTTGCCATATTTTGTCAGCTTCAGCAAAACTTTCTCTAAAGAGAATTCCCACTGCTCCCGAGGAGCAGCTTTTGGCACAACTTTGAGTCAAATATTGGATTGGAGAATTGACATTTATGCAATTTGATTCTACCACTCCAGTTCACATCTCAAACTCGTTACAAATTGCTGACACAATGGAAATTTGCATAACATTTCCATATGCACTGGTCGAAAGCGAACGCTAAACGCCGCCAGCCTCCGCAGCCAAAAAAAAAAGGTGAAAACGAGGTACGAGTATTCCCGTGTGTGGAATAAAAACTTGGCCAGTCCGGGGTTTGTTTGGGCTCTGTTTGGGGTTGCAAAGTTAATTTATTTCAAACTCCGTCTCGGGAGTGGGCATCTTCTTGTCGCCAGCCTCAGTTTATCAACCAATTTCCATTAAAGCTTATAAATTGTTGTTTATGACTGGCGGCCCATGCCCAATGCCCATGCCGCAGACAGACAAACACCCAAGGCCCCAAAGGGATCTCTGGCCATGTCTCGCCGTCGGCTTTTGACTTCATTTCATATTCATGGACGCCAAATTTTCATTCCGCAGCCGCCGGGGCTGCAGTTAGGTCCTTTGTCCTTTGTCCTTTATCCTCTGCCAGCAGGCCCACACTTTCGTTTTTTTTTTGGCTGGCGTTAATAAACTTTGGCAATTATCTTGGCTGCCTGTTGCCTCTAAATCACAGGGATTTGCTGCGTACAAGTTCCGAAGGAAAAGCAAAGGGCCGTCCTAGATTAGATAGCGCTTTGACGCTCACTGTGCAAAGATTTGGCCAGAGTTTCCGTTTCTGCTTCCGTTTAGCTCTTTTTATTCATTTGGCAGTCAGAAAAAATATGTGCTGCAAAAGTGAAAGAGAGTGTGACATAAAGCCTGCCTCAATATAATTGCATTACACGTGGCTGTCAGAAGCAAATGGGAAAAACCCAACCAAACCAAGGAGATGCTCGGAGAAACCGCAGGGAGACCACAATCCTCACCTTCGCAGTAGATTTCCAGCTCGGATGTGAACATTCTTTGGCAGGACGACTTTTCATATTTTGTACAACCCGTCAAGGCGTGAATCTCCCCTCTCTATGTGTGTGGTGTGTGGTGTGTGGTGTGTGGCTGCCTCGAATAGAGTGGGGCGGAGACGACGGGATTTTCTTGAAGCTGGAAAATCCTTTTTCTTAACCCAAGCGTGCACATACTTCAAGTGTGCTTAACCCACACTTAGTCTCTGTCTGAGCAACTCCACACCCATTCTCCATTCTCCATTCCCATGTTTGATGTGGTCTCTGCGCCACAAATCACCAGGGCGGCAGTGTCTGGAATTTATGCTCCTTCTTGGGGAGCTGCGCTGAGTGCAGGAACAACTGCGTCGGTTGCTGTTTGTGGGCTGTGAGTTGTGAGTTGTGAGTTGTGAGTGCCGGTTATGTCTGTGATTTGGCCCTGCCACGCCCTAATCTGACACTGATGTGGGAGGCGAGCAACCATTCAAGCGCAACGCAACGAAACGCGATGGGTTGGGACATCTTCCACTGTGAAGAGCCAGCCAGTCCCTGGACTGAACCATTCGCTTTTTCCCCATATTCTGGCTTCGTTTTTTGGGTCTCGATCTGGGTAAATATTTTCACAAAATTATTTCACGCTTGATTGGAACGTGAAGCGGAACAGGAAATCACTTATGACATTCTGTGCTGTTCTATTGATTTTTGATTTGGGGTTCAAATATGTTTCCCCATGGGAAGGGAATTGACTTCAAATTACAAACATAAATATGAGTATTTCGGTGCACAAAGCCAATGACAAGTGGATGAATGTGAAGGCCTTGCCGTGTGTCGATAACGTTTCCAAATTAAAGGTTTATTTCACTGCCATAGAACGGACTTTGAGGTCTGCAGACTCCATTGTACGCCACAGCTGGATGGCCGCTACAAAGTCCCAGCCTTTGCCATGTTACACGCAGGATACAAGGTAGCGGCACATCTGGTGGTAGCTGCTGGAGCGGGGAAGGGCCATACAACAAACTGATTGTAACTGCATTCAGTTAGCAGACAAAAGCTGGAGCACTCGGCTGGAGCCAACTACAAAGGCGACGACTGTTTGCCAAGTTGTAATAAAGTTTGGTAAACAAGTTGCCAACAAAGCAGAAGGACTCGAGTGCAATGGATACAACCGAGTATCCCAATTCTGTAGCTGCAGCTCTCTGCACCATTCTCATTCCCATTCCCATTTCGATTCCCCACTGCCATTACTCACACTCTCTGGCAACTTCGAACTTATCTTAAATTCTAATGCAATTGCAACAGGCAAGAGCAAAATTTCAGGTGTGCTCTGCAAAGATTTCCCACTAAAGCTAACTCTTCTCTCTCTCTCTCTCTCTTTCTCTTCTCCTTTCTGTTGTCTATTTGCAGGTATGTGTATCCGCCATTTTGTTATTCCTTTGTGTTACGTGTACGTGTACGTTGAGTGGCAAACTCCATAGATAATAAAGTAGATGATACTCGGCAATCGGTGGGCCCAGCTCTTCGCTCGAAAAATGGCATAGCACACTTTTTGGCGCGCCGTACGTGCCGCTTATCAAATGCATCAGACACACACCCAAAGCGGCAAAAAGGCACAAAGCACAAACAGTGGGAGAACTGCAACAACAATGAGGATGATGTAGAGCTTACACTTTCCTTGCATTTGTAGGGCATGGCAGACAGGACAGTCGTGTCTCTCTTCTAACACATCGACAAGATCGATTCTACCATTTGAAATGGATTATTCAGAATGAATTGGGTTCTCCTTTTGCTCCATTTTGATAAAGAGTATTTTGCAGTTTGTCTGAAAGTTGTGCCCAAGCATTCTGTAGCTGTTGCTCCTGCTGGCTGCTCAGCTTGCTCCTCAGTTTGTTTATTTAATGTTATTCACTTATCCTGCATGTGCAGGCTGCCTCACTGACTGACTGACTGCTCAGTGATGTTGAAACGTGCAGCTCTCCATGGCCCTACTCAGGGCTCCTTCGACTGAGCGCTCGTTGTCTGAAGCTCATTGCGATGGCCGCATTCATTAGGCAACTTAACGCCTCTAATTAAATGCCTCAAGACGGAAGTACTCTCTCTCGCCCCAACCTACCCATAGATAAGTGTCTCACTCACCTCTTCTAATCCGACGATTACACGATGAGGGCATCCGTAATTATGCTCTGGCCTTTAATTCCTTGCCCATATTTGCTAATGCAATTATTGCGGATAATTATGCGTTTATTGAACAAATGAAATCAGGGCAAGGCGTGGGAGGGGAGCAGCCCAGTCTCTGTTTGAAATTACATTTAATAGGCCCTCCAGGCTGCAGCTTCTGTTTTGCCAGCCGTGGGGCCTCCCATCTGCCTGGCCATTGTATCTGTCCAGCTGCCTGGCGGATGGTCGGCCGCAACCGAAATTGCATTATTGGTTAAATATTTTCGGGGCACCCAAAACCTGCCTGTAAGCTGGGCAGGCGTGGCTGAACGTGGAGCCCATTGTCGGACCAACTCTGTTGTTCCCCTTATTGGCAAATTGCATAATAATCGCGTTGCTTTCTCGCAGAAGAATGGGCAGAGATCTGTTAATGAAGTGGCAGTGGAGCAAAAACAATGCTGTGGCGCGGAATATTTTTGGGAAGAGAAGTAACAGCAAAGAGAGGGCCGGAAATGTAGCTAAACATTTTGGATATTGATATTTTGGAACCATTGGAACCATAAATGGTTCTTCCATTTATGAAAATGGTTTGACGGTGAATATTTTATTTAGTCAGAGATTAGTTGCACCATTAGTTACATACACAAACCAAACACTTTTGTTAACTTACGTACATACTCTGTTCCATAATGTATTATTGCTTGCAGTGTATTCTAGTTGATTCAGTTGTCTGCTTTGCACTTTACCGTTTGTTATTGGTCACAGCTTTTACCGTTGCTTTGCACGCACCGACTTGTCCACTGCAGTGGACAGTGCAGTGTCCACGCTCATGGCTGCGTTGTTGTTAGTGCGAGCGAGAGCGAGCGTAGGGAGAGCGAAGATGTTCAATTACAGATCAAAAGGGAGACGGTAACTAGAGAGCGTCGTGCTGAAGCTTCTTGGGCAGAGCGAGACAGAGAGATGCATCGAGAGAGAGAGAGAGAGCTAGAAGCTACAAAGCTACAAGCTGCAGTCATTGAGAGTAAGAATGAAAGCGCGCAAGCAGTTGCTCGCAGGGGAATTCAGCTAACTGTACGAACATATAAAATGTAGAACAATGAAAGCGTGAACC